GGAGCTCTGTGCAGCAGCTGCTGTGTCAGCAGTGGGTCCCAGTAACACACACACAGCTCTTGCTGCCCAAATGCTCCTTTTCCACTCCAGGATTAGCTCCAGGAATGTAGTGTCCCGGCGGTGGTTGGGGTCCCACCCAGTACCACAGTGGGTGGCAGAGGTTGGGCTCGTCTGCCCCTGGCACCAGGAGGAGGACAGGCACAGGCCAGGGGTGCTGGGAGAAAGGGGGACACCCATCCGTGATCCCAATGTGATCACAGCATCCCGAGCAGGATGCTGGGGGTGAGCCCAGAGGGGGGACCCATGGGAGGGGGATCTAAAACAAGTCCCATTTTTTCTGACACCCCCCCAGACCCCAGCTGGGCTCCAGCCTGGTCCAACCAGGATCCCAGACCCACCGAATGGAGCTGGGTCCCACAGCTACTCACCCCTTTGAGGTTGCTCATGGCTTGGAAATAGATGAGATAAGCCTTCTTAGGCTCCAGCGGTGGGTTCCAGTAGCCGCTGTAGGTCTGGTTGTCCCCCACGGTGAAGGGTTTGGCCTCTGTGAGGCTGCTGGCGGGCAGCTCAGCCCCGAAGTAGTGTACAGAGCCACGGGACACAGCGTCATCGAAGGTGAGCGGCACCGGGAAGCACTCCTGCCCACCCAGCTCCCGCTTGAGCTTCTTGGGCCGGTCTTCTTCTACAATGACCTGGTAGGTGCTGTGAGGGCCAAGCATGGGTTAACTTTGTAAAAACGATGGCCCTGCCCTTCCCTTGGTGCTCAACCCCACTATCCACGCCATGCCACCCCATTTGTGGGGGTCTCACCCTCACGCAGCCTCCACCTACCTGATGGGAGCCCCTCTGCCCTGCGCTGGCCGCAGCAGCACGGTGATGGTGCTCTCTGACTCGCTCAGCGGTGACGGCATGTCCCCATAGTCGAAGGTGGGAGCTGCAAAAATAGCAGGGAGAGCTGGCAGGGTGAGTCCTGGTCCCCAGGGATGCACGCAGAGCTGCTCCCCGCTCAGGGGGAAACTGAGGCATGAGCAACCTTGTCCACGGCAAAGCGTCACCAAATGGTCTAGTGAGGGTTACTATGAAGAAAACCCTTCCAGGTCTTAATGAAATGCGGCAGTTTGGGAAGGACCCGTGGGTGTGCACTGAGGAGAGGGAGCATGGCCAGTCTGGCAGAGGGGAGTAGACGGAAGCAGGATCCAACCTCGGTAGGACCCGGCCTCACAGTGCACTCTGTGTGTCTGCAAACGGCACAGCTCCAAACCACCAGCACAGCGTGACCACCCCCACCCAGCCCAACAGCTCCCCCAGGCCACGGTGGGGATCCCCATCGTGCCTGGCATGTCCCCACGGTCCCCAAGCCATAACCAGCAGTGCCTGTGACGCTTTGCAGTTTCAGTGTCCCCATTAGGGCTCATCTCAGTCCATTTGCCGCAGTTAATAGCAATGCCACAGACAGGAGCAAACAGCCCCAAGTACTGCGAGGCTTACTAACAAAGCCAAATTAATCCCCCTCTTGTATGCTGACAGCTCAGACTGTGCCAGTGCTGGCCACACTCTCCAGCCAGAGACCCACACTCAGCCCAGCCAATGGGTCTGGGGGGCTGCCATCACTGACAGCATCCCTCAACAGCAGCATCCAGTCACCAAAATCCACAGAGGCACACCGGACTTAAGCACTGCCATCGTATACCTGTGCGGTGGAGCCCAAGGGAACCTACCGGAGATGTTGGTGGTGATCTCGGTGAGTGCCGTCTGACCAAAACCCTTGCCGGTGCGGGCCCGGACTGAGAAGAGGTAGGTGGTGCCGGGGTGGAGGTTGGAGAAGACATGGTAGGTCTCGTTGCGTAGTTTGGAGACGGTGCGCCGCGGGCCGGGCACGTTGACCGCTGGGTCAGAGGACTCGATGCTCTGGTAGCTGATCTGCAGGGACAGGGCAGAGCATCAGGAGTGGGAGAGGGGAGAGACCCCCAGATCCAGGCGGATTCAGAGGGGCTGGTGTTGGGGAGAGCCTGGAAGGCAGAGGCTTTCTGGGGTAAATCAAAAGCAGAGGTTCATCATAACAGCCATTGCCGGATAATACCAGTAACCTGGAAAGCAGGACCCCCAGCAGGGACAGACCCTGGTAGCAGCAGGATGAACACAGGCTGGATCCGTGCTCCAAACGAAGGGCTCAGGAGCAGCAGTAACGCTGCAGCTGCCCTTAATCCCCATGACCGAAAGCAGCGGTTGTCCCAGATCGCGCCACTGCATCTCCCCCGACGGAACCCTTCCGTGTCCCTGGGGGTCCCCCCCTTGGGTGCTGCCGCTGGCCGGATGTACCTCATACTGTGTGATGAGGCCGTTGGGCTCCACCGGCTCCTCCCACTTCAGAAATATCATGTCCTCCAGCGGCGTGAAGGTGAGGGACTCCGAGGCAATGCCGCCGGGCACTGGGGAAGGAAAGGGGACGTGCTCGGATGTGGCAAGAAACCAGGCTGGAAGGAGAAATCCCCTGGGAAACCACTCCAGGCAGCTGCAGCAGCTCTCCTATGACCTAGCCACCGCATCTTCCCTGCCACATCCCTCCACTGGCACTGGTGGCTCCCAGGGAGATGCTCCGGCCGTGCTCCCAGGCCCACTGGTGACACACTGCTATGGACAGGGGAGGTCCCCGTGCCATGGCACACACCCTGTGGGCACCATTTCTGGCATCACACCCAGTTTCTGACAGCACAGCACAGCACAACCCCCCGGGGCGCACCGTCACCAGCAGAGCTCACCCGAGTTCTGCAGTGTGAGGAAGGAAAACCAAATTCCCTTCTCCCATACAGCCCAAATCCCGCCCAGAGCCACCAGTATCCTCGGGAGACGTTACTGGCTCTCCCCCCAGCGAGCAATACATCCTCATCTGCAGACAGGCTCGACATGCCCCAGCCTTCCCCTCTAATTAACACCAACAACAATAATAACTGCAAACAATAACAGCGATCGACAGCACCAGGATCAATATTCGCTTCTTTACCATGGATTTCTTGACCCGAGGGAGTCGGGAGACGCGACGGCTCAGCAAAGACACGATTCACCAGCAGCATCCTCCACTGCGGGTTTGAGCACCCGGAACACGCACCCTCTCACTGCAGAGGGACGTCAGCTCTCCCTCCTCTATTTTTCTTTTTTGCAGCTCTTGCTCAGACCTAATTACGGGGCCGAGAGAGAGGGATCGCCTTCTGCACGCTTCCCGCCGTGCAAATACACAATTTCCCCTTGATTTACAAGTTAATTTAATCAGAGGCGCCATGTCCTACACGTGTACACAAGGCACTTATTAAATTCGTGTAGAATTACGGAAACCTTTAGGGCAAGGATGTGTGTACCTATATAGATATTTTTAAACACTTGTGGCCTGTACATTCATACGTGCACACAGGCACGGGCACCATGCGCATGGGCATTCACCACAGACCAGCAGAGGTGCACAACGGCTCCCAGGTGAGCGTATAGCCCCCGCCATCCCTATACACACACACACACTTCTGTATATATTTATATACGTTTATTCTGGCTGGCACTGCACGCACCCTGCCTGCAAGGGAAGGAACCAGCTCCCTGTAGCACCAACACGCTGCAGTCATTATTTCCACAGGCACCTAGGATTGTGAGCACAGTCCAGAATCTCCAGCCGTGGGTCACCGACCTTCCCAAGCATCCTTAGATCTACATGAGGCACTTAAACATCAGCTGGGCAACCTATGGATGGGTCACACCCTCCGCTCTCAGTGCCCTGCCCACACAGCCAGGACCCAGCAGGACTTTACCCAGGGTCCAAGAGGGATGCTGTGAACTACAGTCTTGGTTTGACCCAGTTATTAATACCCCAGAAACGGTTTTTCCAGCCCAAAACCAGGGTGTACCCGCTTGGGATGTGCATTTTTGCAGCCCACGCTGGGAGTTCCCTTGAGACAAACCCCAGCACTGCATCAGCAGATCCTGCAACTGAAGCTGGCCTCATGCCATAGTAAACCACAATCAAGGGTCCCATCATTAACGAGCTTTCACCACATTAGCTTAATTGCACAGGCGGCTGCTCATCACAGAGTTGTGGGAGCTCAAATCCTCATCGCCCTCCCAGGCAGGGAGATGCTGGCCCAAGCCTGCGCGTGGTATTTGCAATATATCCATAGGTGGGTATCCATCCATGGATTCCATCCGGGACCGAGCGTACCCGTGGCCCCAAGTTCAGTCCAAGGGGGAAGCTGTAAGCCTCGGTTAATGAACGCAGAGGGGAAAGCAGCTGGAGTGATTACAGTATAGCAAAAAACATCTGGAGCTCCCGTATTAATATTCAGTAAGAAAACAGCTGGAGCAGTCACAGCGCAGTGAGAACAGCTGGAGCAATCGGAAGCGGAAAATAAACTGTCAAGAGCATGAGGCTGGGTGCCCCGGGTCGGGCAGGCTCAGGGCTGAGGATACGGAAAGTGCTGATGGGATGCACAGAGAGAGGTGCTGAATTTAGGCTTCAGAGATGTAAATGGAACCCGGAGGCCCTCCCGGCTCCACTCCAGCTCCGCAGGCTTTGCTTTCCAGCCTGGGAAACGGGAGGGATGAGCGATGCACACAGCTGCACATTTTGGTGGGCCCCAAACTGAGATGAGTCCGACACCTGGGGAACTCACAGCAGGCTTCTGCTTGGGGGGCAGCCAGGGGGTCTGGAGCTGGCCAGATCCTTTGCAATTATCAATTCCTCCACCTTAATTGCTGATTCTTGATGCTAAAAAGTGCATTGGAGATTAATTACCTTCCAAGGGGTTGTTTCAAGTGTAGACAATAGGCTTTGCCCCAAAGCGTGTGGGTGGTTTCTCTGCAATTAGGCAGCCCATCCCCCATTCATGCCTGATGGTGAGTGCCAGTGGGTCCGTGAGAGCCAGGGACGCTCCAGCCACACTCAGCACCCAGCTCCTTCCACCCCTCGCACGCCCCAACCGCTGCTGCGCTCCACAGACCAAGATGAGACCCCTCGCCCCGCCAGCCGCAGGAGCAGCGGTCAGAGTGGCAATGTTTGGGGGCTGCCCGGTGTTCCTCGAAAGCAGCCGAGCTGTCACAGCACGCGGAGGTGATGCTGATGGGGCAGCGAAGAGGATGTGACAAGCCGAAGGAGTCATTACTGAGAGCTACCAGCCCCTGACGCGGCCCATCGCTGATGGGTGGCACCGGAGCTGGCTCTGCCACGTCCCCAGAGCCCAAACCCACCCGAGCACTGCAGACGTAGCGCTGCAGCTGGGGACTGCGGTGCAGGGTAAGGGCAGACCCAGTGACCTCTTGGGTGCCCCCAGCTCCAGGACATTCTCAGGGAAGGGCTGGGCAGGAGAAAGAGATGCCAAACCCAGGAGTCCTGGAGCAATGCCGGAGCCTGCAGCTGGCTCTGCCACGTCCCCAGAGCCCAAACCCACCCGAGCACTGCAGACGTAGCGCTGCAGCTGGGGACTGCGGTGCAGGGTAAGGGCAGACCCAGTGACCTCTTGGGTGCCCCCAGCTCCAGGACATTCTCAGGGAAGGGCTGGGCAGGAGAAAGAGATGCCAAACCCAGGAGTCCTGGAGCAATGCCGGAGCCTGCGGACGGCACGGCAGGGGGCCGGAAGCAGGCCCCAAGCCCGGGGCATGGCTGGGTCGGCGAGAAGGGAAACTGCTCGGTTGTTCAGGAGCAATGTTGCTGACAAATACCCGGGGCCAGACACCCTTATCAACATGCGCTCATGCGCCGAGCTCATCTGCACAATCCGAACCCACCCGAGAGCAATCTTCACTGGGGAGGAGCGCTGGGGAAGCCGAGCAAAGCTGCGCTGGGCTCTGGTTAACAGCACTCTGCGATGCCGAATTAATCAGCGAGCGAGCAGATGAAAGATGTTACCTAAGTGCAAAGCATCGATTGCTTTAATTGTTACTGTTACGGCTGCTAGGCTTTGGTTCCACACTAAGGGATGAGCGAAAACAATTTGTGCTGGGAGAAGCTGGGAATCAGCTGAAACACCCCTGTGGAAGGAAAGGGCCGCATTTCTGCAGCAACGTAGGATGTTCCTCCACTGGAGCAACCGGTGCTGCTCCATCCCCATCCGGTCCCTTTGTCCCCCCAAGCTGCTGCCAGCACTTCCCCAGCTGCCACCATTGCCCCTTTCTCCCACCTCCCCTTGCACAGGCCTGGGGCTGCAACAGCCTCTTCACCTCTGCGATGGCCACAGGAGATATTCCCATCATGCCCCTGGCCGAGAGCTAGGGATATGCACTGTGACACAGAAACCCCAGCAGCTCACCAGCCGCGGAGTCCTATTTTTGGGGACTCACCATCCTCATCCGTCTGGAATACCACCTCCTTGCCCTCCTTGCGACCCTCAGGGTTGGAGAGGATGAGCTTGACGTGGATGTTCTTGTAGGGCAGCAGGTTTTTGATGGTGTAGCGGTTGGCGTTACGCTCCATCTTCACACACTCACGGAAGGTTTGGTTGTGGCCAGTGCCCACGAAATAGCGGTAGCAGAGCGAGACGGTGTAGGTGTGACAGCGGGTCAGGTTGTAGCCCAGGGGTTCCCACTGCAACGTCAGCTGCCTGGACTGGATTTCAGAGAAAGCCAGACCTTTGGGGGCCCGCATGGGCTCTGTGGGGAAAGAGATGGGGAGAGATGAGTGATGAAGCAAAACATCTCGTGGGTTTATGTGTATTACCCCTTTGACAACATAGCAGTGGGACAGACAGGTGCAGAGAGCAACCCTGACCCCAAAACTGGGTCCAAGCCCCAGCACTGCATGCTGCTACCCCACAGACAGGGCTGGGGATGTCACCAAGTCTCAAAGCCACCAACACCACAGGGACAGCAGCCCCCACTGGCTCATCCTCGCCTACGGAGGTGAAGCCAGGTGCCAGCCCCGGGCCGGTGCTGAGCCATGGTGGGCACTGGGAGCATCCATGCCGGAGCGGTGCCAAGTAACCAGATAAACATGACTGCACAATGGGAGTCCTCATGTTTTCATCGAGCCCATGTCAGCCTCTTGAAAGGACAGAGTGCCCCTGCAGGGAAGCGATTTAATTAATTCTAATTGGCATAACAGGTGAATTCAGGTTTAATGAGGAGCTGAGCTCCTTTGCCAACAGGACATGCGCACAAGGGGTTTGGGTTAGCAGCAGTAAACTTCAGTAAACTCCTCTCCACACCCAACAGTGACAGGAAGGATGCTGAGAGGAAAGGAGGGTCTTTGCCCGCCTCATCCCAGAGCTGATCCCCCAGGCAATTCCCCTGGGATTTGCACCACAGAGGAGCTGGGGCAGCCCAGGGTTGCAAGAGGCTTTTGCAACCTCATCAGATGCTGCCACAGGTCCTGATGCCCTTGTGAGACTGGGCAAAACCACAGCTGGTTTTGGGGGGTGAACACATCCACAGGCACACCCGCCACCCCATCCAGCTCTGCTGAAAGCCACCGTAACCTCAGCCCCACAGCCCACTGGCATCACTCCCACTGAGTGGCCACAGGGACAGGGACCTCTCCTCCTGCCTCTCCCCAAGGCCTCCAAAATCCCTCACACCTCCCCAGGCACCAGTGCCAGGCTTCAACCTTCCCCCTTCCTTTGTACTACAGGGTATTGAAGTGCTCCAGGAAGGAGCTGGCAACACATCACCCAGGGCCCCGTGTGGGTCATCCCCCCTTGACCTGGGGGCTGCAGGATGCATCTACCAAGTGGCTTTTTCCAAGGTCTGCTCCTGGGCCAGATCCTGCAAACCGTGGGAGACAGCACTGGGCAGACAGGCTGGCAGGGTTTGGAGATGTGGAGGATCCAACTGCAGCCACCTTTTGGGTGAAGGAAGGGTGACTGTCACCATCTGCAAACCCACCGTGACCCAGGGAAGCCAGGGAGAAAAATATGTTGTTACAGCACATGGGAAAAGCCAGGGGAGCCTGAACGTGGTAAACACAGGATATTAAATATGGGGCACTGAGACTGTCAGCGCCTGTCATCGGCTTCAAGGTAAGTAACACACAAACCTGGGCTTTCCCACAGCACTTGGGAATGCATTTTCAGCATTCCTGAAAATGAATGATGAAGAGCTGCTGCCAGCTCCTCACCACGATACCTGGCTCAGGGTTTGCATCACCCCCTCCACGCCAGAGCCATCCCCACTCATGGGCTCCCCATGGCCAAAGCCACTGGGGACACCCTGCAACCCTGGGGATGCAGCCGTATCCTGCTCCACTCATGCCACGAGTAAGGAGGATGCGCTCACAGGTCCCTGTCTGCTGGGTGATGCTCCCAGCTTGCTCCCCATTCAGCAGCACACACCTCTGCCTTTGTTGGGCTGGGCTTTTTTTGTGCAAGGTCCCAGCCCAGCATCTCTGTGGTGCTAGGTCTCAGGGCAAACACGGCATGACAATCCTGTGCTTCCCTTGCGCTGTCTCCTTGCCTTTGCTCAAATACCAGCAGTTAAATCCTGGGATCAGGAACACGGTTGCCATGGAGTGTCTGAAACACCACCAGCCCCCAGCCCTGCCGAAGACAGGGACCAGGGACGGGGATGTCCACCAACCCACATTGCCCCTGCAGGGATGTGCAGTCTGACTTCCCCAGGGGAAACAGGCTTCCCTGCAGCCCCGTGGTGCCAGAGAAGCCTTCTCCCCATCACCCCCCAGACCAGCAGCATGGCTGCACCATGGGCTCTGTTGGGGCATCTTGGCAGAGAGAAGCCCCAGCTCCCTGCTTCCCACCAGCCATCCCTGGGGACACCCCGAGGGGGCTTCAGCAGCGATGGGCTTGCCCTGAGTTACTCCCAAGCCACCACCATGCATGGGAAGGCAGCTGACCCCCCCAGCCAAAGCTATCACCCGTATGGAGTGGCACAGAATTAACAGAGAAGATATAGCTTTAGAGGCACCAACTGCCCGAAACAAGACACTGGAGATTAATACACAGCTCCCTCCAAGGAGGGCGTGAGACAGGAACCTCTCCAGGGACAGCAAAGGGGCTCATCCTCACGGACAACAGTCCTGAGATTTGAGGATGCTCTGAGCTGGATCCGCCCCTGAGCCTGCAGCCCCAGCAAACAGGGAGCAGCCGTATCCTGCCAGCCTTTGCCTGGCTCCAGGGACAGAAACCAACCACGGTGGCAGCTGCCAACTCCGCGCATCCTGTCGCTGTGCTTTCCTGCATGGAGGCTGCTGCCGATGGATCAGCAAAAACCCACCACCCATTAGGGCATTTTCAGGCTGGGTGGCTACTCAGCCCCTCTCACAGGCTGATCACACTGCCTCAGGGTCCAGCCTCGCCCACACACCCTGCTACCCTCTGGCCATGATCGCAACAAGGGTTTAAAGAACGGTCCCACCCGAGATGCTGCACGCAGCCACTAAAATGTCAATTAAAGGCAGATCCGTTGGAGGAGTGATGCTTCGAGCTCCTGGACCGCAGCAGCAAACACCCTCAAGCATCCATCCAGCCTCAGCCATGCTCATCCATCCATGCCTCAGCCATTGGGGCAATCCCAAGCACAAGT